GAAATATATTTATGTTTGTGGTTGTAATGTGACAAAATATGGAAAAGTTCAAGGGGTATGAATACTTTTGCAAACCACTGTATGTGTGATCCATCACATTGAACCGAGGATTAAGTCTTAAAGTGGGATGAGGAAAAATGCTGTTTAAATCACTTGCAGCAATTACATTTTGTCAGAAAATAATGAACGTATACCTTATCAATGGTCATTGGATTGAACTGTGTGAAATACATTTTTGAAGTGCTTTTATGAGCAGCAACTACAAAAAACATGATTTTGAGCAGAAAAGCCTTCAATTTTTGCCACTTGCTTTCGAGCTATCAGCCTCAGTTTGAGGTGACGTGTCAGAGTTTTAGACTAAAAGCAACTTCTGAGGTGAAATGGCAAAGTTGTAGCTATTTTAGTCAAACCATGAAAATAACTATAGCCTACATCACATGCCAAACTCAAGACTCAGGCCAAGTGTGGCCCTCGAGAGCTTCAAAGACATGTCTATAAATAAGTGTATTCTGCTTGAGAGTTAGGAGTGGCCATAAACTACATCTCTCATAATGCATGTCGATTATTTTACAAATTAAATGATAGCATCCCAACACTAGGTGTAAGTGAACAGTGTTCAAAAATAGCCGAGATGGCAAAAATACAGTGAAATGGAGATTTTACTAAGCAAATTTTGCTGTTTATTTTTGCAGCGGCCCAATTGTTTCGGGAAATGGGAAGTTCCTACTTACAAGTCATACATTTAAATTAGGACATCCCTTCAGTGGGAGTTCCTTGTAGGAAAGTGGGAGAGCGAATTCAAGACAGCAACGACTCCCCACAACTCAACAGTGAGTAAAACTCTCTTATTTTACTTTTAATTGTATTTCTGTATTATTTATTTCACATTTAGTCAGTCGTGCATGTTGTACTTCTTAGTGTTTATAAAAAGAAGTGTTGCTGTTCCTGTGCAGGAAATACCACGTAGAGCTCAGGTATTGTTTGCCAGCTGTGCTCAGTCGTAGCAGTGAGATGAGGTTTAGTGTTTAGTCAGCACCAAACATCAAATTTAAAGGGGACCTAATATGCAAAATTCACTTTTTAAAGGTTTTTTTACTCAACTTTGGGTATGTACTTCTTAAAAAACAGTCCTAGGACCAAACAAATGCACCCAGGGGCATATTTACTGTAAGTAAATGTATTTTTAATGTATAATAACGACAAGTTTTATACTTCCATCATTTTGTGATGTCACAATCTGTACGACAACCCACCGGAACCTGCGTTCAGCCCCCTACCTAGCAACCCCCGGGTGAAGCTCCTCCTCCTCAGTATAAAAAGCCGTCACGGTTGTTGTTGTGCAATGCGCAGCTCATTTCACAACAGGCCTCCAATAGTGCAATGGGTAGAGTGTTGGACCAGAGAGCAGGAGACCAGGGTTTGAGACCAGCATGGATGCAATTTAATTATTTTTTTTATTTTCATTCGTTATGAACACGTTTTCTCATGTACTTCTATAGTTTAGCTTATTAAAGCCTATTTGTTCGAGTTTCTGAACTAGTTTGACCGCTGCTGCTCCCTGCTCTGGTAACAGCATGCAGAGTGAGCGCAGAGCAGAGGAGGGGGAGAAAAAAAAGAAGCTGCGACCACGACTCTGGGTCTGGGTCTGATTCAGCAGGGTCTCATATATACGGTTGTACAACGGAGCTTCTGCTATTATTAGCCATGCTAANGATTATTTCACCCATGATTGATGGTTTTGGTTTTTGTGTATCTCAGGGTTCAGGAGCTGCTGGCTTTGAGCGAGAGCTCAGAGTCCGGCCTTCCCGCTGCCCAGCCGGAGCCGCAGGAGGCAGAACCAACTCCCGAGCCGCCCGACGACACACCCAAGAAAARGAAGAAGAAGAAAAAAGAAAAAGAGAAAGTCAAAGATGAGGAGATAGAAGAAGAAATAACCGGCATACCTCTGAGCCAACTGAACGGAACAACAGATGAGACGAGCGGCAGCGAGAGGAAGAAGAAGAAAAAGAAAAAAGACAAATACTTGAAAGAAGAGGAGCAGGAGATGGAGATCTCTCAGGTGGAGGATACTGCGAGCAACAGCTCTAGCAGTGAAAAGCCACGCAGGAAAAGGAAGCATGAAAGTGGGACTGATCCCAGTGTGAGTGAAGATCAGACACCAACTAAATCCAAGAAGAAGAGAAAAGTTGAGACTGAGCAGTTTGCCTGAAAAATACCGAAAATACAGAACAGATGTTTTAAATAAACTGAAGCAGAACGTATTGATGTTGCTGGAGGAGAATCCTTRTGTGCCTTAATGACCTATTTTTATATTCTGCCTGGTTTAACTAAAATCACAGACTGAAAAGGTGCAGAAGAAGCAGACTCACTCGGACTGTGATTTCAGTTTCTGCCTGACGGTGGAGCAAAACTGCTTCACAAAAACCCAAGAGCTGAAGTGTGAAGGTCGGCAGAAACTGCATTATTTGGAGACACCTACTGGTGCATATATGTTTTTATTAAAACAAATGTAGAAACCACACAGCTGAGAAAAATCAAATCAGATATTTGGTTTTCTTCATGTAAAACAGATTGTAACGACTCTTTTAGCTTCCTGTCTGCGTTTGGCTCAGTCAGTCTGTCCARTGAGCTGAAAGAACAGCTCACATCCTGTGGTGTTTTATTTGCTCCGACTGGGAACCACAGAAATGTAAAATAAATATTTCTATTTCAAACCACAAGTGTGTTTGTTTCTCTTAGGAGTAGCTTTAAAATGACAAACGGGTGCGCCTGAAAACGTTTTTATTAAAGGTGTGGCGTCTCATTTAAAAAGTCATAAAATGCTGATTTAATTCAGCTTTTATGGAATTAAAATGTCTTAAATTTCAATTTCTTGCAGCTTCTGTTTTTTTCTTGTGTACATTTAAATTAATTTTAAGCAGCTTCTTTAATAAAATGGACAATATTACCAWATAAAACACTTCACTGATTAGTAACTCCAAACTTAATGATGTTCTGTGGAGTATTTTCACATTAAGCTGATTTGTGCTAACCAGTGGGTGTTAAGTAATGAGGTGCTGAGAGACGCCACTGAGATCTTTGTGTTTTCTTTACCCTACCAACACACACACACACACACACATGTCTTTCAGTGGGAAGTCTAATTAGCTTTTAGGTGCTAAGAGTTGAGCTTATCAGAAGCTTAAGGATAAAAAGCTTCAATTAACTGGACTAATCAGGTGTTTATGTTGCAGCATTTTAGTTCACCCACTATTTTTGTTAGATCAGACTAAAGTTACTTTTATAGTTAAGGGCCCAACATGTTCTAAAGGAATGCTTACAGTGGTTTGCAAAAGTATTCATACCCCTTGAACTTYTCCATATTTTGTCACATTACAACCACAAACATAAATATATTTCACTGGAATTTAATGTGAAAGACCAACACAAAGTGGTATACAATTGTGAAGNGATTTTTGGAGGGCGTTACCGACAGAGCTCATTAACATAAACAGCTCTTCTGAACGGAAGTCAGAGCAGGCAGAACTAGAAAATGGGAAATTTTATTATCTGAGAATTATTTTGTGCATTAAATTGAATGAACATGGTCTGGATAGCCCACAGACATACCATAAAAATTTCTAGGACCCATAATTGGTCTCCTTTAATTCTTAATGCTTAATCAAACATAATGCTCGTCTGGCCCTCGGTGAAAATGAGTTGGACAACTCTGTCTTAGAGCCAACCAGCTACAGAAAACTGATCCCACAAAAAAATGTGATGTGGTACAATGAGTGACATACTTTGAGTGTTACATAAGATAATATTTTAAGGGACACAAATGTATAATTTCTCAAGGTAAAATGAACTTTGAAAAAAAATCAATGAATGTTAGACTTTTAATCGTTTTAATGTTCAAATGGTAGCCCACTGTAATCATCCCACTGTGACTTCCCCCACATTTTATCGACCTCATTTAACCAATCGAAGTGGTTTGTGCCTCCGCTGCACCTGTACCTCCTCCCTTATTGGTCTCCATTTATCTTGTCATCCCTCTTATCTCTCCCCCGCACTGACTGGCCTGCTTTCCCTCTCCTCCTCCTCCTGCTTGTCTCCCTGATTTATAGGAGGCGGTGTGCAGTTCACACACATTCCACTTCTGACACCAAACACAATTGGGCCCTCATATCTACGCACAGTCATTAATCTTGGAGAAGAAGAGGGAGGGTCAAAGAAATGAGACAATAATGGAGGAGTGTTTGGTTGGTCTCCTTCGATAGGAGCAGTATCTGTTTGTTTTTGAGTGTTGGCTGTGAGGCTCTATCTCCTGAGTCAAAGTTTCCAGGCCCGGCGGCTCCCGCTTGAAAGTGTCTGCGGAGTCTTTAACGGAGAACAAACCCTGACGCAATTCTCCCAAGTTCAGAACGCACACGTACAACAGCCCACGGCTCACATTAACCAGCTCACTAACGCACTCACTCATGCAGTCATGTCCACAAGCCGCAATCCACAAATCCCCTCCATCCTTACACACCCCTGATGGGCCAAGCCTAATTAGTTATGTGGTCGTCATTCTGCCTGGTCCCAGAGCCCCAAATGGCAGCAGGTCATAAAAACCTTAAGTATTCCACCAGTCCGAGGCGCACCACCGTGACCGTATATCCTCCCAACACAGAGCTCGGCTCCAGCTCGCACGGATCAAAGTCCGTCTCTCACAGGCCGGCTGACATCTATGAAATCTCTCAGAGGCGTTTTCTGAAAAATGTCTTGGCACCTCTGCTTCGCATTTCTGTTTTTCTACGCTTGCTCAGGTATGCACGTGGAGTCAGAAATCGTAATCTTTCCCAAGGAATCAGTGCACACACACACATGACAACCACTAAAGTAAATGTTGGAACTGGTTGGTGAGATGGATTCCCATAGTTGGTTTTCCTGGCAGCTGACACCCTGAGTCCTTTGTACCCTTAGTGACGACAGACGGTGGTCCTCTCTAGTGACATCTTTTGTCTGTTTCTTTCTAATTTAATTTATCCTGTTTGATCCCATGAGCTGGTGTTTGAAAGGAGATATCATGTTTTTAAATCCTTCTTTTTCACATTTTATAATTCATTTGGGGTCTATATAAAGTGGAACTGCAATTCCTCTTTATTGTAACTCCACAAGCTCCCTTTTCACCCTTTTTCTTAGGTGTGTTTCGGATTGACTCATTCAGCATTGAGAAAAACTTAATTTAAGTTTTCTGCACTATAGTGACTCCATAAAAGTGGATTTTGCATGATACAGTATGTCCCTTTAAGATGAGATAAGAGTAGGTTGTGTTACGTTTATTAATTAATCACCCAAAGGTTTGATTATCTGGTCTGTTTTTATTTCATTCAACTAAACTTAAATGTGTTTGTTACCTCCATCCCTGCCAGATTAATAGGGCTCCAGGCTCACGGGTGTCTAGACAGTGTTCAGAATAAACTCCACCTAAAACAATGAGGCCAAAATTAAAGGCTGCTCTATTAATCTTAATTATTTTTTTATCACAGCAACATCATCCGCAGAGAGACAACCAATATTAAAAGAGAAATCAGATGAGCATACCTAACGGTGACTTATTGTTGAACTAAAACCCTAATATTTTTATCGCTCCAAGTGTCTTTTTGCTTACAATGTGAGGGTGAAAAAACAGAGCAGTAGGAAGAAGAGGAACACGTGCAGTTTGTCATCAAACTGCAACCTCCAAAAACCTCAGAAAAATAAATAAAACCAAGAGGTAGGAAAGAAAAAAAAAACTTCTGGGACTGGAAAAAAAATCATTTTACATTCGTCACATGGTTTTTTCAGGACAATGCCCAGGACACAACTTAAATATTTATATTCTAACATTTTTATGAAGGCATTGTTAAATGTCAGGGCAGAGTGGAGGGTATGAAGAAACGTGGGTGGTTCACATGATGAAGATGATGATGATGTGTAGCCTACATCAGAGTTGATTTCTGGAAAAGTACTTAAGTCTTTGGCAAAAAGATGAAAGAAATTCCCTTCTGCAATTCTGCTGCATTTCTAATTTTATTTACCAAAACAGGGTGTTAAACATTCTAAAACACACAGAAAATACACCAGTTTGGATGAGTTTTAAAAAAAATCAAAACTAAATATTGTGATAGTTTGAGGAAGAATGAAATTGGGAGCTTTTTATCCCATTACACCCATAAACACTCACTAAAATAGAGCTGAAACCAGAATGATAGACTAATAAAAACGATTAAAAATGAGTTCTCATTCACCAGGATGCCAAATATGGAAGGTTAAAGGTGACAAAATTAAAATAAATAAATTTACCATGACATAAATAAATGTTAATCTCACATTATCCATATATCATTAAATTATTAAACACATCSTTAATTTAATTATCTGTATTTATCGGAACTCGTTGTGTGGAGTGACCAATCAGTTGTTAGTGTCTGTGGAGAAGCCATACAAGCCCCGCCCACTGAGTTTAAACTGACAGCATTAATAATTTCACGACAACAGCACTCACACAAAGAGCGATGAAATAAATAAATACACAGCGAAATATATTTTTCAATGAAAGTTTTCTTAAAAGTGACATTTAATTATTCATTTTCATAATTTTAAAGATAGATTTAAAAAATAATTATTTAACTGCACAACTCAGCATTTAATGGTATATTTAATTCATTAATGTAAACTTTACATTTATTTATTTCATGATGTATTTATTTATTTGATTTTGTCAGCCTTAACCTTCCATACACAGAATGGAGAGTGTAAGTTTTGTAATTGATATAAAATTATATTTTACATGCAGAGATAGAAGAAGTCATAGGATTAACGCTGCTCCTGTTGAGGGTGGTTATTAAAAAAAGAAAGTGGAGCAGTAGGAAATGAAAATCCCACTGAGAAAATCAACATTTTACTGTTTGAGGAAAGCGCTGATGTTTTCTTTCTTCCTTGCTCTTCGTGTCTCACAGCTTGTTACTGTTAAAAAGTCTAAATTAAAATGTGTGATCAGACTTTGAGGGATCTGAGACACCTTAGCTGAGTATATAAATTTTAGAGAAATTAAATTAGATGTTTTGAAAAAAAGCTTAATAAAAAGACTGGGCTACCTTTGATAAAATAAACACAGACATTACTCAGACAGAAAGGGGCTGGTGTGTGTGTGTGTGGTGGGGTGGATGTGGGGAAAGGTGCTGACATAGTTGAGGGTGGGTAAAGAAGCCACATGGGGGCATTTTTCACTGTGTTTGGATTGAAAGAAGGGTTAGAGGAGCTGAAAGCATGCAGTGGTTTTGCAACTGGGAGGGCATAGATGTGTGTGTGTGTGTGTGTGTGTGTGTGTGTGTGTGTGTGTGTGTGTG